ATTCAAAATATACTATGGATCTAAAACACAAAGCTAAATATACAGAAAATCCACAAGGGCAGACACAGGGTGTCTTTCAGATCTGAGAGTGAACAAAAAGTCCCAGAATACCCGGTTACCTTCCTATTTACTTATTTATTTGTGTTATAAGTATGATTAAATTAGGAGAGAGAGAGGAGAGAGACAGAGAAAGACACAGAGACAGAGAAGGTAGGGGAAAGTGTGTGTGTGTGTGTGTGTGTGTGTGTGTGTGTGTGTGAAGTGAAATTTACTACTAATGTGGGCACTCACTAAATATTTTAACTAATCCAGGACTTTTAGCACAATTAAATTTTGAAAGCAATTTAAAGCTGAGAAAATTTTGACAAGCAAAGATATGCTGCTGTCCCCCAAGATACTAGACACTAGCCAAACAGGATGAGTCTAAAGTACTGCAATCTCTCTTAAATGATGTATGAAAGAACCACAGAGGTCAATAATGTAGGCATAGGAACTCAACAAACAGCATCAGTCATGTCTCTTCCCCCATCCCATCCTCAAAAGAATGGTTTCCTGATGGGCATGGCATGAAATTTTCTGATGACTAAGATTGTCAAGAATTTTTCATAGTATTTAGCCACTCATACATTTTTTTCTGTTCCAGTTATCCAATTTACCTTGATAGTTAGCTTTCACATATACTTATAATTCTGTGGTTTGTCATAGAGTCTTAAATTTCTATCTTCTGAGAAAATATCAGTCTTGGTTATTATTTGATTAAACATTACTTGATTTGGGTTTTTCTTTGTGTGTGTGTGTGTGTGTGTGTGTGTGTGTGTGTGTGTGTGTGTGTGTGTGTTTTCTCTGGAGGCTTTAGAGCTTCCAGATGCAGAGATGAGGTATCCAATGTGTACAAACATGTCTCCCCACATTCAACATGATTTATTTCCAATGATATTGTCCATGCTGGCCTTGTGAGGTCATCTTCTCATGTTTCCCTCGCTGTAAAGATCTACTCTCTTCTGATATCTGGAATGAAGTCTTTTTGTTCAGTGGGGCAATTTCATTTCCATCTTGCTGAGGGAGAGTTTGCATGAAAATTATTTGGTGTAGTTGCTGAGTTTTGAGGAAGTGTTGAATTCAGTCAAATCCAGCTGACTTGCCAGTCCATACCTAAGAAGGGGATTGTGGATTGAGAAACAGCAGGTAAACCAGTTATTGATGCTAAAGAAAAGACAGAGACACAGAATAAAGTTGGGAGGGCGTCTCCAAGGAATACAGAAATTCACCTTAAGGCATGATCCATGAACAGCATGATCTAGGTAATAAGGCATTGTTTTACCTGCTCACAGAGAAAGGATGTCTCCATTCATGTTGACTAGGCTGATGCCCACTGGTAGTGCTTGCTAGGAGATATACTTGCTAGATCTGGCATCCATGCAAATACTATTTGGGAATATAACTCCTTTAGTTCTTTGTTTAGTGAGACAGTCTCAGACAGGCATGTGTATAGGCTAAATTTTTTAAAATGATTGGTGGATGAGGAGACAGGAGTTTAGTATATATTGGGCATTCACAATTGATGTTTATCTAGCAGATATCCTAGATGGCCTCATTGTCTACTGTGAAGACACATGTACTCAGAATGCTCAGGGATGTGGCATATGATAAAGAGAATTGTCAAACTCACTTCCTGCAGTTGAAACCTAGTAGACCTGGTAAATATAGGTCTCTAGCTGGAATTCTTGCAATAATCAAGAGTGCGAAGCGGTCCATCAGTAGGTATGTGAACACAGAGTCAGTTCTAACACCAGAACTTCTGAAAAGCAAGAATCTCTGAAGACTTGTGCATGTGCCAGCCTGTATATGATGGGAGAAATGTAATGTTTAATTTTAGGACATGCTTTCGTATTCAACAGTATTTATGACTTTGTTTATTCATTAACCATATCCAACTGGTGCCAGCATGGGGAACTGGTAAAGCAGACCCATCACAACTGCCCTATAACGTAGCAAACATCTGGTGTAGAAGAATCAGCAGAGTGAGCATCCTGTTCCACATTTGACAGTCACTACAGAAAGAAGACTGACAGTTGGCTACTCCATTAGGCTTACCCTCCACTTCAATGCTTATTTACATACAGCATCTTCAACCTTGTGAAATGAGGTTAGTTATTTATAGCATCTTCCTTGCCTGTGATGTGCTCCATAGGTTGATGACTTGATTGTATGTACTAATGTGAAGTTATTCTGGTAAAAAGAAGTCAGCTGCCTATTCCTAACAAACTGCACATGCCTGCTCAAATTGCAGTGATTGCAGGAGACAAGCCGAGTATGTGACCAGTGGATGAAAATCCCAGGACTGAGATTCCAGTACACTTCACAATGACTGTGGGTCCCAGGTCTACAAATGTTCCCAAGAAGGCATGCCTGCCAGAGACCTCATGGCAAATAAATGCTAAAGGAGCCATATTCCTCTCCAATGATTTTTTTACTCAGCATCTAGCCATCTGGTGGAATGACATGTTGTAAGCAGTAGAGTTCCCATCAGGCTTTTCCAATGTGGACTCTGACCTGGCCAACATGAATGGAGATATACTCTCTCTGTGAGCAGGACAAAACAAAAAACAATGTCTAAATCAAGCTATGTGAAACAAAACACACATGGAACATTAATGCTAACAAATCTCCCCTATAGAAATGACCTATGGATTGTGTTATAGCTCTATGGAAAAGCACTTGGACCCTGAGCTCAATCCCTAGTACTGGAAAAGTTAAAACCTTGAAATATGCTAGTTTTATGTGAGTGAATGACTACTTTTTTTTCAGTCTGCCTTTAAATAGATGTAGTCTATTTTCATACCTCAAAGATTGCATGGGAACAGCTGCTTCTTGTCTAAGACGTAGGTAAGCAGGCCATTCAATCTCCCTAGCAGGCCCAAGAATCCCACTCTTGACTGACAGGTTAGATTTCTGAACAGTTCCTGTCCCAGGAAGCTTGTGATCAGAACACTGCAGACAACATACCAGGCTACAAGACAAGGCAGAACTCCACAGGACAGGACAGAGGAAAAATTATGGGAGCATGAGCCCTGGCCCTGGATCTCTGGAGGCTGTGATTAGCTGCCTGCTCTTAGCCAGAGGTGTGAAACAATGACCAGAGTCTACACTGTTGCCTCAGTGCGGCAAAGGTTTATCAGTGTTCACGTCTAGTGTGATATTTTCCTTTCCTACCAAGGAATTCTTAATGCAGGAGGTCAAAGAAGATAGATGGCCTGCCTAGGGTAATGGGAATTTAATTATCTTAACCCAGTAGGCCTGTGGTGTGCTATACTGTCAATTAGCTCCTCCTTCTTCACAGTCCTCTTATTGATTTTAATTAAAAGTTAGAAAAGGAGAGAAGAGAAAACACATGGCTAATGATGAAGCTTGCTGGTGAAGTCCTGGTCTAGCCTGTGGTAGGCCCTAGGTTCAGACTCCAGAAGAGAGGGGGCAATGGAGAGGGAATAGAGCAGAAGGAGAAGAATAGGAAGAGGTGAGAATGAAAGAGGGTGTAAAGAAAGAGAAGGAGAGAGGGAGAACAGGAAAGAAGGAATGCGAGAATGGGAAGTAAGAGATACAGAAGAGGGAAGGGAAAAGAGAAAGGAACAGAGACAGAAGGAAGATAAGAGAGTGGAGAGGGGGTGGGGAAGAAGGAGATTATATAATGAAGAGGGGGGAATGCTCGCCTACTCTGGTTCTTACTGCCTTTAGCTCTCTTTATAAATGGTATGGTGTTCCAGCCTTCTCAATCTAGAGGCATGGGGTGTTTCTCCAACTCCTCTCCATAGTGACACAGACGTAACCTACTTACCATGGTGGTCAGAGGGTTAGAAAAAGGCTATAGAAGCAAACATGGTCTCATTTTCTTTCCCCACAAGCTAAGCATTGTAATACCAGAACGAGGCACTGGAACACCAGGAGTTTCTAAAGTAGAGCCTCATGGTAGGTGGACACAGGTGTCCAGGCTATTGTGACCTTCCTCCTGGCCCAGACTGAACACTTGCCACCTGCCTAGTAGTTCCTAGAGGCAGAGCTCTCTGACTTGAGTCCCAGCACAGCAGTCTTCAGGACTGTGGAATGGCTGGACCTGAAGATTGAACATACTTGGCTGTTGCAGAGTACAGCAGAAGGCTTCAGGCATATACAGTAGTGATCACAGACTTACAGGCAAACACACATAGACTGGTTAAGCAAGCTTGCTTTAATCAGTACAAACTGGATTCCAGATCCATATGCATTTAAGGTAAAGACTCTTAAACACAGAAACTGCAGAATGTTTCTGTTGACTATCGTCATGTTACCACAGTTACTCAGTGAGTTTGTCGTTTTCTTCTTTTACCAGAAAATTGTCTTTGATGCAAAATAGCACCATAATAAATTCATAGTTGACAATATTATTGTCTCATTAAATTTAATTTTATGGTTTCTGCTTACTATTATCATTTAAGATAGGATCTTGGTATGTAGCCTACCCTGGTCTTGAATCCACAATGATCCTCCTACTTCAACCTTTCAAAAGCTGAGATTACAGATCTACACAGTAAAGCATGGCTGATGATATGACTATTGAACTTTATTGAAAATTCCTGAATGTTAATTAACTATTCATTGATTTGTACAATGTGCAAGTTTTAGTGAGTCTAATCACAGCATAATAGAAGTCATCTGAAATACAGAACACTATAATTAGGAATATGTTTCATTTCACCTTTGTTGGGAGGAGGTTACTTCTTGAATGATATGTCTTGAAGTTCATCTGCAATCACCTTATTAAATGTTCACTCTTCAAGAAGTGGATTTTCTGTTGGCCAGAGAACTTGTAGAAGTTCATTATTTTAAATCTTGATGAGGATGGACATAATGACATGGCCATTGTGAACCTTTAACTATGCCTAACATTTCCCAAAGGTCCTCGTGCACTTGTCTGTGTTAAATACTGGAGACTGCTTGCACTTGGAGACACAAGCGCTCCCCTTGAATGCTGTCTCTAAGGTCCCTTATGGAAGCTCATAAAACAGCAGGCTGTATGCACCACCAGCAGGATGCTGCTGTATCCAGTGCCTATCAGTCCTCAAAAATTCTTGCAGATTGAATTACATTTATTACTTGTAGAGAGAAGCATTTTCCTAGCCAGTTGCTTGGTTTTTCCCCCATACCAGTCACCTGGGCTCTGCCGCATTGTAGTCGCCAAATAACACACAAGACGCTGTATTAATTATGAAGCTGTTGGCCTTGCTTGTTTCTTACTGGCTAGCTCTGACTTAAGTATTTATTCCGTAATTGTTAATCTAAGTATTTCTCTTACCAGAGAAGTTTCCGGGCTTCTTATCCCTATGGCGATTACATCTTGACTCCCTGTGTTTCTTCTACCCAGAGTCCTCCTCGACTCCTAGTACCACCTATCTTGCTTCCCTATTGGCCAACAGTGCTTTATTGACATATACACAGGACTTCCCCAACAATTACTAATAATCTTTACAATGAAATTATTTTTCTCATAGATTCAACCCATTACTATTTTTTCACCTTTAACTTCAAAATATGTTCATTGTTTTTCCCAAATTCCCTATAATTTCACTATTAAAGAATTTGAAATTATGTTATTACCCAGTTTAAGCATATTCCTTGATTGCAATGCCATGCTTGTTTTGGTGAAAGTTAGTCTTGGTTACTGTTGACTAGCTTTCCATTATGAGAGCAAAACACCAGAGTTGATCTATTTAATAACAGAGGTTTACTTTGGTTCAAGACAAGAGATTTCAGCCTACAAGTGACTAGATCTGTTGCCACTGGGTCAGTGGCAGGATTGCTTGTGGAAGCAGCTATTCCCCTAATTACATCCAGTGAGAAAAGGGACCTGAAGAGAAAAGGCCAGGTCCCAGTAAGGCAGTCATGAATAGAGAAGAAATTAGTGGCCATGGACTCCACTTGACTTGGGTTATGTACACACCCCTCTTTTAATAATGTACTTGGCATCCTAGGACCATCACCCACATACACTATGTCTTCTTCTTTCTCTCTGACCCCGCATATCAGTCTGTTAGCAACCCAGAACACCCACCTGTACTGAAATGTAAATGTTCCATTTTTGTTGTTTTTATACCAGCAACTGTATTTTTTATTGGAAATGGCTCAGAGTTACTCATTCAATAGGTGAAAGAGCCAGGTTCATTAAGCATAGACAGAGGACTCTGGGTGGGTTGATGAAGGATACTAATTAGCCTTTTGACTTATTTTGACTGATGAAATACAAATGTAAGAAGCCCCTGTGCTTTCTGAGGAGTTACTGAAGATTTTGCACTCATTCTTTGGCCCTGCCATGACAATAAGCAGTTTTCTTGTTAGTAGCTATTTCTCCCTCTCTGGTCACAGAGAAGACACAGTTTCCTATTGCTCAGGATCCCTAGTGACAATGAGTAGAAATGAATCTTGATTTTCTTTTCCATTGATATTTGAAGATGCTATTGCTGTACCATCCTGCCTGGCATTGTATCAATTCTTCTCTGAACGGCTGATCTTGGTTTGAGTGAAATATTTAATTCAATGCTATATCATGGTCCTTGCATTACCATATCAATAGGATCATTTCTACAATGAAATTATTAAATAGATAGTTTAAGATTTTCCTCAGAAATAGTTCACTAAATACTTATTTTGTACAAAATACAGTAGTCCTTGGGTAGTTGTTCTTAAATGACTTGTCAGTAGCACAAGATATTATTATTTTTTTAAATATGGATCTCTCATTTTTCTGTCATTATCCAGATTCCATGACCAAGCATCTTATTGAAGGAAGAATTTATAAGGATTTAAGTTTCAGAGGTTTGGTATCTGATTGTCATGGTAGGAAGCATAGCAGTGTGCAGGCAGGTACAACACAGGAGCACTGACTGAGCTCTGACATCCTGATCCACAAACATGAGATACAAAGAGACAACTGGGCCTAATGTGGACTTCTGAAACCTCAAATCACCCTCCCAATGACACAGCTCCTCCAACAAGGCCACCTTTTAGTCAGTCATTCCTCAAACATTTCCACCAACTGGGAACCAAGCATTCGAATATATGGAGTATTTGGGAGCCATTCTTACACAAAACAACACAAAGACCATAGCTGACAAGTTAATTAACAGTCTAGGCATTTATACTTGAACAGATGGTGGGTGCTTTCTTCAAGATACTTGCTCTTACTCTGTAAGATGCCAATTATGGGAATGATTAAATGAATTCACCCCAGTTAATGGACAGTGTAGATAGCTGTACCATTTCTGATCACTCTTTTGTATTCAGTAGAAAGCAACGATTTTTCATCACAAGAAGTAAAATCCAAGTCTTAGCCTGTAATGTTAGAGGCTGCCAAAGCACTAACTTCAGATCTTCCATAAAATACTTGTTTCCAGGTTGGTAGATGCTGCAGTGCCCTCACCTGGCGTGCATATTTCATCAGTACGTACAACATGTGTGTGATAATGTTAGATGGAGATAGTTACGCTACACCAACAAAGAACAACATCTCATAGCTCTAATTCAGACACTGATTGATTCCAGATCCTTGTAGGATAGAATAGGAAGAAAAGAGAAAACAATAACATGATCGATGCTTCTAAAATTTTCCTTTTAAACAATAAATACATGTGTTCACCTCTTAACAACCTTGAAATTCAGAAACTTTCACCTCAAATGTAGTCCTACTTTTGTACCAATGTAGGAGGGCTGATAGACTGACCTGGTTCTAGGTGAATATTTTTCTTTTCGTTTTATGAGACAGGGTTTATCTGTATTGTTTTGGAAGCTGTCGGTCCAGCCTGGCCTCGAACTCACAGAGATCAGCCTGCCTCTGCCTCCCGAGTGCTGGGATTAAAGGCGTGTGCCACCACCGCGCAGCTCTAGGTGAATATTTAATATGGTACAGTATCCTCAGAGTGACCTTTAGGAGCAAATTTCCTATTTCCCACTTCATGGCCACAGATATTGGACATGCATATTAGTAAGATAAGGTTCAATCTTTAGAAACATGCACAGTGAACATAATTCAAACCTGTTACTCAAAATTGGGAACCGGTCAAGCTACACCAAATGTCTCTTAAATCCTATGTGGCCTGCTGCCATTCTTAACAGCTTAATGTGTACTATCATATTTTAATATGTGTACTCTGTGTGTGCCATTTTTTAATATAAGTGGGGTTTTTGTCATAGTAAAGGCTGGGGAAAGAAGAGAAACCTAGGAACAAATAAATTATCTTCTCTATCACTATTGACTAAGAGTTTGATGGTATTTTCCATTGAGATGCTAAAAGAATTTCCTTCTTTATGAATGAAGCATGAAATATAAACATGGTTTCATGCTGCTGCCTACACATAAAGGTGGACACTAGGAAAGTGAATTTGAGCATTTCCATTTGTTCATTGTCAAATTATCTTCAGTTGTCAATGTGACACACATGGAAAGAGAGAATCTCAACTGTAAGACTGCCTCCACAGGCATGGCCTCTGCTAATATCTGTGGAGCCTTTTCTCAATTGATTTAGGGGTTGTAACAGGTCTTAGTCCACAATGGATAGTACTATCCCTAGAAAAGTTGTCTGCACTATATAAGAAAGCTGTCTACTTGTGAGCCTAAAATCAAGCTAGCAGGCAACATTCCTCCATAATCTCTGTTTCATATTCCCATTGCCCTGGCTTCCCTCAATCATAGACTGTATAACATACAAGCCAAATAAACTCATTCCCCTTCAAGCGAATTCATCCCAGCAACAGAGAAGCAAACTAGCATAATCAACATTCTGCCGATTTCATATTGTGAAGATAAATATCTTGGCCTAGATGCTAGTTAAAACATTGCATATCCACTTTTTAGCAGTTAATTGTCATGGCAAAGCCTCAAAATAGGATTGCATCCAAAAGCTAGCTCAAAATTAGTCTAAGCATGATACAGTAAAATCTACAGCACACATGTAATGGAAGCTGTTATATATTCTAATAAGACTTCCAGCAGGGAATATCTCCCCTAGTAGGTCCTTAATATATAATCTTAATAGCTGGTTTCTCTTACTTTCTCTCTTCCCTTTCCTCCAATCTCACGGATACCTCCTTGCACTCTTTCAAATTTATGGCATCTTTTTTTTATTAATTATTGTTACCAGTGTGTGGTTATGAAAATAACTTGTTCAGTATGTATCATGTTACTTGCATGTATGTTTTCAGGACTAACTGATTGGCGTACTTTCCTCCATTTTTTCCTGATGAGATATATTGTCATATTAACTATTTCTTTGATAACTTCTAACGAGGTGATTTTGTTTTGGACTATTCACCTTAAGAACTCTTGGTATATGTGAATATTTCTCTAAACTTTCTTATTGAACAACCTGATGACATTCATGTCTGTTCCTAGTTCAAACTCTTAAAAATTTCTGAGACCAAGTGAACATTGAATTTATTGCCATAACCTTCCCCAGTTAGCTGAAGGTCACAATGTTCACAAAAGAAGTCATCTTTTCCCAACATAAGGCAACCATGTGATTCAGTTTCTGGAAGCATCCTAACTTGTATTTGCTAGCTTTATTCTAATGATCTTCTGACACTCTCTTAACTTTCTATCCTACTTATAAAATAAACTTAAATACTCCATTGTTCAACCAAATAATTTAAATTTGAGCTGTGGTGAGCATAGTACTTAAGACAAGCATACACATACACATACACACACCAAACTTGATATTTTATTATGGTCTTTTTAAATATAAAAAATTCAAAAGAGTAAAATATTCCTCAATAACAATGAAATTATTATAAGCCATAAAATTCATTTTCCCTTTTAATGCATATCTCTCTTGACATCTGTCTCAGGGTTAAATACCTTTTCGTCTTCCTCTCCCAATTTTAAAAATTAATGTATTTTTTTCCTTAGACAGAATCCTGTGAGAGCAACATAGAAAGCATAGGATTCAAACACATACATATACATGTTTTAAAAATACTGTTGCTTATTTTTCCTGTTATTCGTACACTTTAAGAGAAGCATCAAGAAAATGCCTTCAAGCAGCTGAAACAGTAATACATATTGATCTTTAAGTTAGTAGCTTTCTTTTATTACAAAAACTGAAGCTACC